ATCCTCCTGTTGAACATGTAGCTCAATATGTCTTCTCTGTTACTGTAGCACTTTATTTTCACTCCAACCATAATCCAGTATTCACAAAATGGCTAAGTACACAAATATGACAGTTCAGATAGGTGAGACAAACTTTCCACCTATCTGTATGACGTCTGATGCTAATACCTCATTGGCCAAGTTGAATGGTAGCAGGATTCGAACCTAAGGTCCAGTAGTTTAATGCCAAGTATTTAGGCCAGAAAATTAACATTTTCTGCACCGATAGAACTATTTCTTGTGGAACGATTATCTACTAATTCAGATACCTGATTCATGCTTCGGTTTGAAGTGTGCAATATGTTTTGTCTGTTTGATAACTTTATCATAAATTTCCGTCTAGTGAAGAGAACACATCATCACTATACTATGGACACCATCAAATAGCATGTCCTTTTTCAACCACAGTTATCCATAAAATAGTCATATCAGAAAGTTTGTATGAAAAAGGAAAATACATAAGAATAGTTTGATGAAAAATTATGATTCACTATTCGAATATGATGTCACACATCTCTGCACAGAAAAAATACATTTTGTAGGAGAGAGGGTAGAAAAGTGGAGTGGAGTGAAATAGATGTTTAAGTTCACACCATCTTACATCTGACCTTACACATAAGTCAATATAACCTTGGTTTAAACTTAAGAAGGTCAGGGTTACAAACAAGTTAATCATGTTTAAGTCAGAACACAAATGAACAAACAAAGCAAAACAAAGAAGATAAAAGAAAAGAAAAATCCTGAAATGATTAAGTCAGTCTAGTAAATTATGATGAATAACACACACAATTGAAAAATGCAAATAAGCACTGATTCTATCTAACACATATAAACACATGATGACCAACTTTTGATATGCACACATCAGTGTACGTAATACACACAGAGAAGAAAATCAAAAGGTGAAGAATGCATTATCATACAAAGGGAAAACTCAGGGACGCGTGAAGCCGCTAAATGCACCTACCTACCTACTTACCTACATATACATCAAGAATTAATTAAATTCACTGGTTTCAGAGTTTTAATTAACATGTAGATAGGCATTCATCATAAATTGATAGAAATCACAGAGTAATCATAAAACAAAGTATCGAAAGGACAACTGAACCGCTATATCTGAGAGTAACATATCAACAAAAGCTCATATTTGTAAATAGATTACGCCCCATGTGGTCCGGGGTTCGATCCCCGGCCGCCGACGCACTCTTTTACCTCACTAAGCCAGTAATAAGACTGGTTAAGAGGGAAGGTTGGGCATGAGGATAGCAGCCCAATTCCGTAAAAAGTAAACACCACTGCTACCGAAACTTCAAGCCTCTAGCTTGAAGCCCTATGTTCCACTGGGAACGTAAAGGAATAAAAAAAAGATAAAAGCAAAACTTAGTCTTTCGGTGTAGCTGCGTTCTCTCAACTAGATATTTTAACCGTGGATCTTTCACTGTCTTTCTAGACAACATTTTCAAAGCGAAATTCATTTTTAACACAGAATAATAAAACCAAAACATGGCAGTTATCCAATAACGACAGTAAGTGTTAGTGTGGAAAATGCGTGAAACTACGAATCGCTTAGTTGGAGTACCTATTGTTAGAGACTATTTTTTTATAGATGTTGCTCTGCATTTCAGTACTGTGCAATTCTTGAAGACAGGATTGGTTCTCTCTCCACATGCAACTATACTACGTCACATGATATACTTCAGGTTATTACTTTACATATAAATGATGTACAAAGAGGAAACATTTTGGAACTAAATACGCTGAAAATTGCTCTACCATGTGTTCACATAATGTTTGAAATAAAGCTTTATTATCATTATTTTAAAGATGTCTTATTCTTTCCATACAGATTGAAGAAGGCATTAATACTTAATTCAATTTAGATTTTTTCGTCGATTGATTGTACCAAAGTGCTTGGTCTCAGGTTCACATGCCGGCTTCTAGTGCATATACTTCAAGTCATGTAACTTGAAGTCATTAGGTGGATGGTGACTAGCAGTGGAATCCAGGATGCGTATTTCGTCCTATTCGGGGCTCATCGGTCGGATGTATCTGCATTCCCCAGTGAGTGAGTGATGGTGTTCCCCACGAGGCTCGAACCCAGTGCCCATGGTTTCAAAAGCTGAAAATTTCTCTACCATGTGTTCACATAGTGTTTGAAATATTATTATTATTATTTTAAAGCTGTCTTCTTCCTTCTATACAGGCTTGAAGGTGTTAATACCTTGCAAACTATACTTGATTTTCACCTAGTAATTCCTTACAAATCAGAATATCCTTCACCATGTTGTTTATGTTGTTAATTTCAAAGGTGACACCCTAAGGTATCACTAACATACATTATAAGGTTATGCTTGCCAAGGATAGCAAACACGATAGACTTTCTACATACAGTTTTAGGTGTGTTAGCTTTTCTATAATTATAAAAGCCTCGTCTACATAAATTCTGCAGTTTCTAGTTACCTTTTAACTTGTGTCATTTCACGATTTTTATTCATTCTGTAGTAAGGCGAACTTTTGAATTTCGCATGTTAGTGTTGACATTCTTGACATAAACTACTTGATTGTAACTTATTTCTTAATCAAATAGAGTTTATTAAACATTTACTTTTAAGCAAAGCCTTACATAATGATACTTCATCTTTTTAGACGACTCACAACTATTTGAAAGTCAGTGTATTTTGTACTAATTGATAACACTGTACACGTTCTAGCCTGTAGAATGACTTATTTCGCGTTCAAAAATAATTATAATCAATATTTCTTATTGATAATGCTAACTGGTAATCACAATTATTCATACGCAACCATATTTCAACATTGTAATAACAGATAACCGCATCAGCTTTATCATTTTCTTCGTTCGCCAAACAGTATTCAATAACTTTTGCCAGTGTCATCTTCAATTATTTTGTCATCATATATGACAAATGATTATATCAAATAGTCAATGTACGTCATATCTTGATCTTTTCATACTATGAAGAGTATTATAGTCAAACAATGATAAGTAGGAAGAATTAAGAGAAGGGCGAATTCTAGATTTTCTGAGCATATCCCCAATAATCTTTATATGAAAAGTAAAAAAAAAGTGTTTGCAAGTGCAATCGCTAAACACCTGATCAATCGAAATCAATCAAGACTTCAAAATAATTATTACGTAGAAAAACCCTGGATACTTCCCTTTGTTGAAGCCAAGACTATCCAACGATTTCTACGTATACAGAGAGATAATGTGGTGAATGTTGCACTACCTTGGTAACTAGACATCTATGTTCTGTTTCTGTATTTTGTTGTATCAGTTTTTTTACTACAACACAGTGAGCTGAAATCATTATTAATCTTCCAATTTATTTATTTATTTAATTGATGGATGGTGACTAGCAGTGGAATCCAGGATGTGCATTTCGTCCTATTTGGGACTCGTCATCTGGATGCACTCCGGTCCAATCAATCGACAGTAAGATCTAGAATTGAATTAAATAATTAATGTGACCCGTTGTACAAGAGGTAGCTGTCGTGGCCCAAGTGGTCTAGTGGATAACGCTTTGGCGTTTGAAACTATAGGCACTGGGTTCGAGCCTCAGTGGGAACACCATCACTCACTGTGCAATGCAGGCACATCCGGATGACGAGTCCCAAATAGGACGAAATGCTCATCCTGGATTCCACTGCTAGTCACCGTCTACCAATTGACTTCTAATTACATGTCCAGACATCGTCGAAGCATCTGCACAAGGAGCCGACATGTCAACCTGAGACCGAGCACTCCGGTTCAATCAATCGATAGGAAAATCTAAGATTGAATTAAATATTTATTTATTTATTTACATAATAACATTACTTTAACTCAACATTTCGTTTCACTCCCACCCTCTTCTCTAGAACTTTTCATTACATAATGCATCAACACACTCTGATTGTTACATTATCAATTATCTAGTATTCATATCACTCGCTCCACAACTACGCCCTCTGAGTTGAAATAAATTTTTAAGTATGTTATGTATTTCTGCATTTGTAACAACTTATGTCATTTTTTAGACTGTTAACAACTGATGAAGAGGTGTGAAAGAACAAAAGAAACATAAGCCAATTTTGTCCTACAACTATGTCAGTTCTCGCTTTGTTCAAACCAATCAAGAGGATGGGTTTATATGAAATATAAGCTTTTTAAGTGAAAAACAGGAAAACAGAGGTGATGAAGATTCCTGGACAAGAACAACAACAACAGACAACAATCAGCATAAATGGAAGGAACCTGAAAGAAACAACCTCTTTTACCTACCTGGGAAGCATCGTTTCAACTACAGGCGGATGGAACTGACGAGGATATCAAAGCAAGAATAGGAAAAGCAAGACAAGCTTTCACTACTCTCAAGTCTGTGTGGAGGTCAACAACACTCAGCATCAAAAATAAGATCCGGATTTTCAACTCCAATGTGAAGTCAGTCAGTGCTACTATACGGATCAGAGACTTGGCCAGCGCGTCATAAAGAGCATCTCAAACAAACTACAGACCTTCATTAACAGTTGTCTTCGCTCAATACTCAAGATCAGATGGCCGGCCAGAAAAGATCAGCAACAGAGATCTCTGGGAGCGAACCAACCAGGAACCGATTGTGAAACAAATAGGCAGGAAGAAATGGAGATGGATTGGCCATACTCTGAGGAAACAACCATCAAGTGACATCACTAGACAAGCCATTGCTCGAGTGGAACCCGAAAGGGAAGCGGCGAGTTGGTCGTCAGTGCAAGGGTGACTTGGAGGAGGTCATGTGAAGAGGAGATGAAAACGTGTGGGCAGATATGGAGCCAGGTGAAGACTCTAGCAGAGAACCGAACGCAATGGAGACGCACGGCTGAAGCCCTATGTTCCTCTAGGAATTAAAGGAAACAATAATAATAATAATAGTATCCTTTAGCATTTATGAGTATTATATATATACGTCAAATCATACCTTATTATCTCCTCCAGATACTGCTAGAATATTTCCAGTTACAGACCATGAAACATTCCAAACAACATCGGAATATGTGTAAAGTACAGTTGGCCGCCAGTATGGTTTAGATGCATACTCTTTTGTTTCCATTCCACTAGAATTAGGATTATCTGTCATAGATGGATTTGAACGATTTTCAATTTCATTAGTCGACTGCCAGATCATTAATCGTCCGTCTTGACCACATGAAGCGATTAACTGACGTGAAACATTGAGACTTGGACACCAAGCAACATCACGTACCCAATCAGTGTGACCATCTAGACGAGCTTCTTCAATCCATTCAGGACTTCCAGAAGAAATGTCTTCTCTATCAAATAAAGGGGGAAACAAGTAATCATATACATATATTACTAAACAGGAGAATTGAAGAATAAGGAGTCATGAATACACATGATTATTGAACTTTAGAAAACCTGTAATACACACGAATTTCAGTTGATAAACTCATTTTCTAAATGATATTGTTCTGAATATCACAGACTAGAAAATCCAATAAAATTCTTAAAACTAGAAACCAGTAACTCACCCATTTGATATTCATTTAATCATCATTCTAAGGTGTTGATATTAAACGTCACTTGATCTAGAGCTAAATATGACCATAAATCTTATTCCTCTAAATGTTCCGATCTTAACACCAAAACAATTACTCTCAGTATGAATTGGTAACTCTTAATTAATTTGGTTATTTTGGTGTTACTCACAATAACAGGAAGTTTACCAATAATACGTGTGAACACAGGTGATAATAACAGATAATACATTTTAAAGTGAAAAACATTGAATGTGATGTAAATAATCACTAAAAACAAAACAACAATAATACGAAATATAGGGGCTACGAGATGTGCCTCCAGCACTGTTTGTAATAATATTATTAAGTTAAACGCATAAATATATAAAATGTAGAATACAAATGTGTTTTCAATTATCATTTGTTATTGGCATTTGAAAAGGTAAGTATTATATGTTCGAATCTCAGTGGGGAAAACATCACTCACTGGTGATAGCAGGTATGTCCAGTTGATGAGTCCCAAATAGGACGAAATGCACATCCTAGATAATGATGCTGGTCACAATCCACCAAATAACATCATGTTAATCATCAGACATCGTAGAAACGTCCATACTAGGAGCCGACATGTCAACAGAGGACGGAACATTTCAGTGAAGTATAGTCAATTAACGATTAACGGGAAGTACAAAGTTAACTTGAGCAAATTATGACATTTCTCTCATTGAATGTCACGAAAATGTTATTGATGAAAAGTAGACTAATCTAACAAGCATTTCACATCATTAAGTCTGTGGAACAGTAAGAAAGGGAGTGATCAAGAGTTGCATATTCATTTTAATCTGAGGTAATTTAATATAGAATTTTAAAAGTATCATGAAAGAGAAAATATTTCTATATAACACTTGTAGTGTTATCCCCAGTTGCTTCAACTCATTTACTCAGAAAAGATTTTTCAAGTACTAGAGGCTATGAGACACACAATTATTGCGTGAGGCCTGATAATACTGCGGTGAGAGCTGTCTGCTAGCCAAAATTCTAGACAACAATTTACGTCCCGAATCAGGGTCATGGGAAAAAACAATAACAAAGCTTAACCTTGAGGAACTCACCAACCAATCACAGCAGACTTAACGAGTGCAAATACGATTCGCAGATATATGGCCTGACTTTCTAAGAAACGGCCACAAAAAGATGACAGAATAACCTTCAGCAAGAAAACAACCAATCGGAAGACGTTGCTTCTCTGCTAACAATAACGAATAATAATGTACATAAAAATCTATAAATATCTCTTGATTTTCTCAATAAACGATCTGTTGCCTGGCCCTTATCTTCTGTCGTTACAATACTGCTACCCAATTGTTTAAGCTAAAGCAGACGAAGTGGAAATTTGGCTCGAGACTTTTCGAGTGTTTAAGCCAATGAGCGAAAACTCCACAGTATTATCCGTACTAAACAATAGAAGGAAACCTTGATAACAATAAACACAACTCTTTACCTACATACAGTATGTAAGACAACAAAAAGCGAACAAATATTGAATGTATACTCAACTCATAAACAAATCTTGTCTTCTCTTTTTAAAAGTTAACACATTTCTATTGGTATCATATTGAATATTACTCCCATGTTTGTGACTACAGCAGAACACCACTCAGTGAGTGATATGTAGATACATTCAAATAAAAAGTACTAAGTAGAGTTGTAAAGCCTGTAAGTATATTATGTAGAAGAAATATTCCATACAAAATAGATTACTTTGACTTTATATAGTTGGAGGCAATCAGAAAGAATCCTTGGACCTAGGAGGATTTTGCGTTTATGACCTCTGCCAGGTACATCGGTCGTATGACACGCCTCCTGTCTAAGAGGATTCAAGAAGACTATCCAGCATGGTTGCGAAAAGGCAATAGTGGTGCTATAAGGAGTGCGATAATTGAACACCTGGTTAACACTGTTCATCCCATCTCAACAAACGTCTCCTTCGAAGAAATCTACAGAGTCAAGAATAACCTACCAAAGACAATACGGTTTCGTCTTCTTTGTATCTCTGAAGCTATGGTCATTCACATAGAAAAACCGGAGCTGCGCAAACAAAAGAGAATTACTTAACCACTTCTACTATCATGGTAACAACTTTGTTGATTTTTGATGACTTAATTTTGTTTTTTTCGCTTGTTTCTCTAATTGCTTATAGTTCTTGTATTCATTTAGAACTCTTACGTAATTCCGTATTCTCTACTTTGTTCCTATGTGTATCCTGAGTACAACTCAATCATCAAACCATTCACATTATTACGTAACTCTTTTTTAACAACTGCTTGTGATAATTCATCACCTTTGTTACAACACTAGTTTCATTAACACCCCATTTTCTTGACCGTTTCTGTATTACGTAACTCCACCCAAGACTTACCAATTTTCACCTGTTTACTATAAATAACCATAACCAATTGTATTTTTGTTTGATGAACTTAATGTACACATATATACAAAATAACCAATAAATATTTGCAATTGTACAACTAAGAAAATGAATTCACCGCCTAAAAGAGACTCTTCGATGAACTACGTGTTTTGTTTTTATTAATGCTTGGATAGGGAGTACTGATGAATTATGACTACTCGTCAGAAAGGCGTATATCTGCAACCTTTACAAAATAACCCCGACCGATAGCTGCTACCTTGACGTGGTGGTTGGGCTTGCACATCGCAATGACCCAACAAGCTGCACTGGCTGGAACCAATGTTCCTGCAGGTCCAGGAAGATTGTTAGGATAGCGATTAGACTAAAAGCAGTTACCGGCGTTGTGTAAGAATATTTTCTACACTATGCTGGGGGTCTGAGGGTGAAGTCGTACTACTGGGGAACAGGGGTGTAACAGCAGTGAGATGTTTCCCTCAGATGACCAGCATGCCAGCTATGCTGTCTCTCCACTCTGGAGGGAGGGGGTTAGAAAAGGTCGACCCCAAAAATTGTATATCCCGACTTACCCTACGGTGGTCCGTAACCGGCGGTAAGTTTACTAATACGGAACCAACACCAGAAACCAGTTCACACAGGCCGTGTGTGACCGGCCTCAAGCAGTTGTCCTCTAGGCTGGGCTCTATGGTCACGCAACACTAACCCTCTTTCTGTTTCAGGTACCCGAAGAATCAATCAACTTCCACGGTGTGGGCAGCCGGAAAGTAACAACCGCCCACACACTTCCCCTAAAGCACACGAAGGCTTCCTGAGCATCGTTACAAAATAACAATAATAACTATTTAACATATATAAGTAACGTCGAAATTTCAAGTCGAGTATAAACATTTGTATTTGTTGTGCTAACTTGTTCATATTAAAGCATTCAGATGGATAAAAAGAGATTGTTTCAGCAACTGATGAATAATTGGCAAATTTAGGTGAAAATTAAAATACAGCAATATGGTTTATCTAGATAGAATAAAAGAAATTATTTTTCAATTTTAGCTACTATTTTACTCTTATAGTATTATATCAGTGACCTACTTATTCTACATTGTCTAATAATTCACAAAATGAAGATGAAATGCTTACCAACAAGAAAAAAAATAATAATCGACCGAGTAAAATGATCTACTTTCAATTCAAATTGTTCTATATATATATATATATATATATATATATATATATATCTGGTTCACACTGATGAGTATCAAAATATTCTGAATGTCTTAAATTTAGAACGCATTATGATTATTACTCCTCCTCCTATAGAGTCTGTAAACTGGAACACACACTCTATATATATTTTTTAGTGGGCATGAATGAGTGAGTATCAAGGTAACAGTAGCTGTAAATATGGTTCTGCTAAATTTTCTTTCTATTGAAAGCAACAGTTATAAATGTAGGTGAGTGTGTGTGTGTACAAGTTTACCTACATACATGTATGAACCAAGATAATCACTAGAACACGCTCATACTATGGCCTCAGTGAGAGCGTATTTATATACATATTAGACAAGTTAGACAAGTAGGTTGACACTAGGCCGTCATACTTACATACTCTCTCTCTCGCTCATATTGTGCACATATTTATATGTGATGCTACACTACCACTGGAACTTTTTAGAGTGAATGCTGTAGACTCTCTTCTTGATATACTGACAGAGAGAGGGGAGTTAAACAGAAATGGAGAAAAAATACAGTAACTAAAAGAAACTTATTAGAATTATTATTATCATTATTATCATGATAGCTGTATTGTCTACTCTCTGAAATAGAGTAGCAGTAATAAAAGTTATATACTAATACTAAGTGTACGAGGAAGATATAAAAACAGATGATAATTTTTGACAACCGAGCAAATCTGGACCGGTGCCAAAATTTGGCAACTGAAACACCCAAGATAGATACATAGGTAGATAGATAAACAGGCCAAGAGAGAGCGAGAGAGTGGGAGTTAGGTAAACATTATAACTAATAAACACAAGGTTACTATTATTATCATCAGCGTTTAGGCATAGACAACATAACAGACAGGCTGTATTTGATGCAACTTGAAATAGCGGTGATCAAGAAAAAGACTAGGACATACCATTTTACTAGACAGATAGACAGACAGACAGATTAGCCACTTCCAATTAAAATTTAGCTATCCAAAATTATACCATAAATTTATCAAACCCGCTTATTATATAATATTATGATTATTATTATTACTATTATCTGTGAAGCATGAAATGAACGGATGTGACAAATAGACCTACTGCGCACACAATATTTACTAAAAACAATTCAGATGACGACGATGTTGTTTATGAATAAC